TCTGTTAAGTCTGTTTCTTTTTTTTTTTTTTTTTTTGTCTCTTCCATTAAAATTAATTTTTATTTATGAATACTGTCTTATTGCAGGTACATTTCCATTTTCAATGTTCTTGTGTATGTTCATTTTCTTATCAAGTGTTGTATTAAAGTAAGAGCAGGGCTCCAAAATGCCATATAACCCAGATAATCTTTGCTCTTGCTGAAGGGACTCACAGTTGGAAAGAGGGACATATTTAATTAAAATGTAATGTAAGGCCGAGAATATAACTCTGAGATAGGTAGGTTTACTTTTACTTAATTGAAGTAAGGAGCCAGCCAGGTCTACAGAGCAAATTCCAGGACAGCCAGGATTACACAGAGAAACCCTGTCTTGGAAAAAAAAATCATGCCCCAAGATATCCTCTAGTTTCACGGGAACCAAATACAAAATATCTTTAGCAATCACAAACAATTAGAGGGTTTTCTTAGAAAAAAAACAGACAATATGTATTGCTTTAGTTTTTTATTAAAAATCTAGATTTTAAATTTTATTTTATGTGTATGATTATACTGTGTATGTGCCTGGTGCCCAAAGAGGTCAAAAGAAGACACCAGATTCCTTGGAAGCTACCTCGTAGTTAGGGGAGCCAAACCCAGGTCCTCTGCAAGAGTAACAAGTGGTCTTAACCACTGATCCATCTCTTCAGCTCCTCTTTTTGTTTCTTTAAAACTGCATATTTATGGTTACATTCAGGAAAACCAGCTCACAGTGTGACTTCAGTATTACCTCATATTTCTAAGTTGGTGAAAAGAAATGGAAGTTGTTTAGAAATCTAATCTTAGAATGTTCCAATCATAGTAGTCATTTTTTTTCTTGTTGAGCACAGGGGGAATAAAGAGGGGTTATTTGAGCTCCTGTATGACAAATTGTTATCATCTTACTGAAGACCAGTTGCTGGGATCTACTTAGGACTCTGCTGCAATGAGCGTGTTTGTTGCTACTGTTTCTTAGCTCTGAACTGATGTGTGTTCGTGTGTGTGTGTGTGTGTGTGTGTGTGTGTGTGTGTGTGTGTGTGTGTGTGTGTGTGTGTGTAGAGGCAATGTAGAGGCCAGAAGACAATTGTGGCCATCATTCCCTAGTCACCATTCACTTTGCTTTGGAGACAAGGTTTGTCATTGGCTTGCAGCTCACCAAGGAGGGTAGGCTGGCTGCTCTGGGAGCTCCGGGGGTCCTCTTGTCTCTACTTCCGCAGTGGTGGGATAAGAAGTATGTCCAACCATACTTAGATTTCCCCCTTTCTTGTTTGCTCTGGGACAGAAATCAGATCCTCATGTTTGCAAGGCAAACACTATACCTGCTGCAGCCTGCAAAGAAACTTTGACCCAAATGTTGCTTTGCCTCCCAGGAGTGCTGCACAAATCTGACATGAGCCCTACAATGCTCCTGAGCACTCCCAGAGGGGACCTGGACAAATACCAGAACCACGAGATAAGTAAGCTAGCCACCATCGGGCATATTTACCAAACACCGGACAAGGCCCATGTGCTCCCACCACAGAGATGGGAATCTCTTCCAGTTGCTCAGTGCTAAGCCTCCTGTCTCAGCAAACAAGGCCCTTTCAGCACATCAGAGTGCTGGAAATAGTAAGCATATATGTGTGCAACAGCAATGGAATTTATTAATATAGATTTTTTCCTCTAGAGTTTGAGACACTCTCAACATATGACCTTCAGAGACAATAAATATGAATGTAAATCAGGGTTCTATTACACACACTAACCTTGGAGCAGAGTTTCAGCCTCTGGGAATTTGTTTCATCACAGTTAAGATGAGGATACTAATGCCACCTGGAAAGGTGTTTGCTACCAAGATGACGATAATGACCTAGGGTAAGGGACACAAAAGCACCAACCATCTCAATGCCTGCCATGTATAGACACAATATTTTCAGAGGGGACCAATTCTGCTTCCTCCTGTTCACCACTAACCATAGATCTTGCCTCTTCACTTCAAAAGCAAAGTCAATTCCTATCCTGAAGAGGTGGGAATATGCACATTTACATAAAACAAGTTTTGAAATGTCCCCTATAGATCATTAAACATGGAACCTACCTGAATTTTTTCATTGGTGATTGCTTTTCTTGAGCTGTGGCTAGATGGCCGGAATAATAGACAGGGAAAAACATAATGTTCCAGTTTGTTGAAAACCATGTCATGAAAAAGGGACAGTAAAAATTCTTGTAAGTAATTTTTACAATTTGTGTGGTTCCAACCCAAGATGATGACACTGACAAGATGATCAAGAGTCCCCAGATGGCCTTCAGAACCACGGACATGCAGGATAGGCAGCGAGCCTTGAGTCTGTTTTCTTGGCTGTTGCTCTCAGGATGAGTCTGTGTCCCATCATCCCCTGAAAACAGGAGAGGAATACAGAAGTGGAGGAGCAGGATGCAAAACAGCAATCACACGAGTCGGCTCCTTTGGGAAGATGTGTGTAACTGCAAGTACGGCCAGCATGCCACAGTTGTCTTTTCTGTCACCATCAGAAGGGAACAGTGATCCCCAGCTCATCTTTTTTTTTGTTTGTTTCTTAAAGTTTTAGAGTTTTCTTATTTTTATTTTATAAATATGAAGTATTTGAATGTGTGACTGTGCCCCATGTGTGTGCAGGGTCAGTGAAGGCTAGATGAGGGTGTCTAATTCCCAGGAGTCACAGGCAGTTGCAAGCCACCATGTGGATTCTGGGAACTGAACCAAGGTCCTCTGAAAGAGCAGGAGACAGTGCTCTTCACTGCTGAGCCACCTCCAGCTCCCCAGCCTGAACTCATTTTTTCCCCCCTATGGACTCACTCCAGATCCCAGCCAGAAGGCAAAGATGCTTATACATGTGGTGCATGTTACATTGTAGGCATGCTTTGCCTTTTAGAGTGTTCCACAACCCAGCTTCTGAAGACCTGTGGCAGCCCTCCTCTAGTCCCATGGGTCATCTGTGGAGTTGCTGCCCCATAGCAGAAGCTCTAAGAGGCATCTGGGACTCTACCAGGTCTCCTCCTCTTCCTGTCTGAGATTAAGACAGAAACTCCACAATAGACAAAGCTGCTCTTTCAGTCTATATGGGGGGATGACTGAGTCAAAGCTGCCATGTATCCACTGACATGAAAAGTCAGTGAGAAGTCAATACTTGTTTTTATAGTCTCCTGGGATCATTTAAAAATGGCACCAGATGACTCTTAAACTGAAAGCAGTTCGTACTAAGAACAGAGCAAACTGTGACTGTACAAAGTCATTTCCCATCTTACAACAAATTATTGTTCAACCATGCTTCTGGAAACATCGTAGGCTTTGTCTAGGTTTTAACATTTACTAAGAAAATTCAATAGCATTTTTCACATTAAAATAGTCAAAACTCTTTGGAGTTGACAGCCATCATTGTTCTTTCTCCCGATAGAACAAATAAGTTAGAAATGAATTTTTGTACCTCTCAGCAGCTGAGAAGGAAGACACCCTCCAAGCTGAGATCCCACATGGCAGCATCCTACAGGGACACAGAATTGCCTGCATGATTTTCCTGTGTCTCTAGGAACTTAGCTGAGGTCCAGGGCTATTCATGGGATGGGAGCAGTGATGGGCTGGGCTTTTTGCATCTCCACACCTGGCCTTTCCAGAACCTGCCTGAACATGTTCCTACTGCCTCGTGAACCAAGCCCAACTGACTCCCTGCTGCACCCTCGATTAAAACCTTTATTGGGTAGAGGCTTTCAAGAATAATCTTTGAAAGTGAATTCATCACTTCAGAATATAAATGTGAACACAGCAATACTCTGAACTTCTTAATCTTCTAAATGGTACTGCATTCTTGGGGTCTTAAGTAACAGCAGTGGAAAACTGTCATTGTTTGACTTATTTATTCAATAAACTCTTTGGAGACTCTCAGATCTGGTTCTCTCCTTGCGTCCCAGGGGTTCAAAGGTGAAAGACTTGAGTTTACAGTCTGGTAAAACACACAGGACACAAGATGACAAGGGCCAGTTCATACAGAGATGAGGCTATGTAGAGCTGAGGAACAGATGTGGTGAGGAGAAGCTTCTCTAATGCAGAAACATTGAAATGAGCAAGGAAACAGGATTTAGCTAGCTCGAGTGACTACATCCAGGTAGGACCTGCTTTGGCAACAGTTCTGCAAATGTCCTGTGATTTATGCAGTGAGGACAAGGGAAAATGAAGACAAATAAAAAACGTTAGAATGAGAGGCTATTGTGCCAGGAGGCCAGGAAAGAAACACAAATCTACTCAGTACAGATAAAAAGAATGGAGGCTTGGGTGAAAGGTACTGAGAGTTAGTAGAACTCTAGGTTCCTGTATTCTGAACCTAGACTTTATTCATATAAAGCCATCGATTCATAAATTAAGAGCACTCCAGAAGAGGTCTTTCATTCCTTTTCCTGTTTCATCTTAAAATTTATTCACCCACCCCAATTAAGTCTCACAAATTTAATTTTTATGCATTAAAAACAATTTCTTAATTCTCTGCTTTATTTTCTTTAAATAGTCATAGTTAACTAGTTATTTTAACTAGTTAACTATTTAACTAGTTATTATGAATGCTACATTCTGATGTTTTTTATTTTTACTGCAATTTGAAATTTATAAGGGATTTGGCATGTTGACAGTGCTTGAAGGGTCAGATAGGGGAGGCTTTGTGGATGCAAGCAGAAGAGGCACAGAGTGGCTGGACATGGAAGAATCCAGATAGAGTACCTGACATTGGACAGGGAGGGAGCCACAGCCAGAGAAGATCCTGCGATGATGGGAACTGGTGAACAAAATCTCCCAGACAGAGGGAACTTGTTTGTTTTTCCTTTCTGGGGAGGTAGATGTGTGGTCATTTGAATATGAATATGAACTTGGGGCTTTAGAGCATGAGTTGAGACAGAAAATAAGTTGCCGAAGACTAAATAGTCATAGTTTTTAGCAGCTCCTGATGAATCCAGCTGCATCGAGCAAGTCACACTTTGCTGGGAAGCTGATGGGCATGGCTGAGATCACTCTAGCAACCCAGTAACCCGAGAATTAGTGAGTGGTCAGGTGGATTGAGCAAGGGCTGAAGGTTTGCAGTGATCAGAAAATGCTGAACAGTTAATTACCACACAGCAACCTGGGAAGACAGGATGGGTGCCAGGAACAGGTAGTCCTGACCATGACAAAAGCACGGTGTGTGATTTGGCTGACATTTTCATTCTTTTGCCTGGACACAGAATGTTACCACTGAATCCCAGAGCTGAGCTAAACTATGCTGGGTTTGGCACTTGAAGATGAGAAAATGAACTACCTTATAAATTTCATCTATGGTATTAACTATGGTATACATTTTTTCAACAATAGATTTTGGAGTTTGGTTCTCCATGACACTGTATATCTCTAATAAATTGCATCTCCCTATGTCCTAACTTTCCCCTCTTCCCATTTGATAAACTATCTGTACGCTTACTCATAAGAGTCTGGGAAACATTTCTGCCTCCTCTGCCCAAGGCAATGCCATTCCCTGGCTGCCTAGAAGGCTACTAAGATGTCCCGTTACTTAAGAGAAGGTCACCCACATACCTGATCTGCTCTGTCTCTCAACCCTGTGTCCACAAACTCCAGAGGATCCTCGGCTCTGAAGTTCAAGAATAGGAGCAGAAGAGTCTTCAGTGACAGACAGAGGGGACAGTTGCCTGCTGATGCTGCTGTGTGAACTGGGGCAGTTGGATCCTGGTTTGCATCGAGAAACTGATGATCTGGAGGTACCTAGAAAGACAGAGTGCACACCAGTTTGAGAACTTCTGAGCAGAAAAGTCAGAAGTGACTTGAAATTCCTTGGCAGTCAAGTACATGACCATGATAGTCTCAATGAACTTATTCCTAATCTGTGACGGAACTCCCAGGAAGGAACTGCATGGAGGCTCCAGGCCTCTAAAGGCATTGTTTAGATAGACTCATTAACTGGAGGTGAGTATTAGAAGATGATGCTTAGGTGGAAACTTGCATTTTGAATTAAAGCTGCCCACACAGCCCAACAGTTAATCTAAGGAAAGCAAAGAATTGTGGTATGCTTCCTTTCTCACCTCTTTGCCTTCCTTAAGTGGCAAACTGCCAACAGCATCTCCTATCAAAGTCCACCCTATGCTTTTCTACCAGATTGACTGCTAAAGTCCAGTTTCACCCGTAGTCTTTATCCAACGTGGTAGATGAAAACTCAGTCTTCACGATCTGCACCCCCCACATATCCCACTCCTCTTCTCATCAATGTTCCATCTATCCCCCAGCACAGGACAGGGTTCATGGGTCTGTGACCAGAACAGTTGTGTAGGAACTGTGCTCAAAGGAGTCGATCCCAACAATAGCTGCAACCAAACTCTTGACTTTCTCACCCCAAATGGTACCTTTGGTAACATTACAAGATAAATATTGGTACCTTACTATTGAAGAGACTGCAGTCTTCATTTATACCCCACTTGTTTTATTACTAATGTCCCTAATCTATTCTAGTATTTCATCTAGGATGCCATATTACATCCAGTCACCATATCTCTTTAACTACCCGTGGTCTGCAGTGGTATCTTATTTTCCCTAGTTTTAAACAATTTTGACAGTTTTGAGGAGTGATGATAAGCTGTTTTGTAGAATTTCCTTCAAGTAAGATTTACTCTGTGTTTTTCTTATGATAATGTTGGGAATATGGATTTGAGAAATGATGGAGAGATAGAGTATCTTTTTTGTTATCAGTGATATGTGCTACTAGTTGGCATTAGTGATGATGCTGACTATGGCCACATTGCCAAGGTAGAATAAATTTTATTTATTTTATGTTTTTTTGTCTGTATACCGACACTGTGTAACACATACATGTCTAGTGCCCGAAGAGGTGAGAAGAATGTGAGGGTATCAGATTCCATGGAATTGGAGTTAGATATAGTTGTGAGCTGCTATGTGGGTCCTGGGAATACAAACAACCAGTGCTCCTAAATGTCATAGCCTGTGATTAAGTCCTGCCACACAATGGGATGAAAGACAGAGCATTAAGCCACTTTCTAGAGGGTTTTACATTGACTATTTGAAATTCTTTCATAAATAGGTCTTTCTCCTTTCATTCTCTCATTTACTGTATACAACAGCTTCTAGTGGTATGAACTTGTACATATTTATCTCATACTTTAAGTCACAATGAAACCTGCATTGCTGACTCTTGTTCAAATCATGCAAGATGAGCTGCTGAGTCTCATTAACATGTCCTCATTACTTTATTTTTATACTCCTCTTTACCTCTTGGTATTATAAGGTTCTGTCTCTGGGCCTGTCTTTTATTTTTGTGTCCCTCTCTTAGAATGGATCCTTATTTTTTTTTGAAGAATGATATCTAGATACCAAGGTCTCATTGTGAATGAGTTTATTGTTATCGGGTTCCTTTGTCTCTAAGCCCGCTCAGTTGTCAGCACTAGAAAATATGTGTACACATGTCATGTTAAGAATATATGTGTGTGCATATACATGTGTATGCCCTAGGCAAATCTGTATTTATGTAATGCATAGTTTATATGGTTTCTAAAGATTGGGTGAGATGTTCTATGCATGGTATCACCTCAAACAGCACTTGTGAGTTCCAATAAGGATCCACCCAAGTGACTAGGTGCAGCATATGAGAATCATCTTAGACATGTGTATACCAAGATAGACAGCACTCTTCACTCTTTGGAGACTTGCATTTCCTCTTCATGGTAAGGCATGCACTCCCTCATCACCAGTGGGAAGCAGACCATCATTCTCTTTGTGCTATGGCAGCCCTGTCTTGCTGTGGTTCTTTTAAGATGGTAGAAAATGTCTAATGAAAACTGGAATCTTGAACCCTCAGTGACATCCTTGTTTAATTTGGCTATGGATTTATCAACTCTTATACTAGGTTGATAACCATGAAAATCATCAGACATGCAGCTGAGAAGTAGCAGTTATCAAGGAAAAGGGAAGCTTGCATTCCTCAGTTCTCAAGACCTAGAAAGAACTAATCAGAAGTGTGTAAGTACAGTTTCGATTCAGTGTCAGTTCTATTATCCAGGGATATCCACCCATCTTATCTGGTGTTCTTTCCCTTCTCTTTTTCTTTTTTAACCTTGGAAGAATTAATAGAGATATCTAAAGATTCAGTTAGCTGCACCATTTATTACTCAGGGTATCAAGCTGATCTGACTGAAGAGGATTATTTAGTAGTTAATTAAAATGTAGAGATTCTCAAGAGCCAACAGAAGTACCACACACTGTTGCTTTTTGGGGATTAATGACTAAAACCCTCCAGTAGATGAACTACCATCAGTTTTCCACAAACCAGACAGTGGGGTTTCACATGGTTTCACATGTCTTAGCATAGGGTATTGACTTAAGTCAATACCCTATGCTAAGAATACTTGTGGTCTTATTTCATATGCAAAATTTTCATTGAACTTTGCATAGAGATGTCTCTAAAAACAGTGTAAGTTCAGTGGCAAGAAACTGATAGTCATGTTCTCTCAACAACTGATGCTTTTCCAAAAGGGTTGATTCACAGATACTTCAGGGCTCTTTCAAAATCAAGTCTCTTTGATAGAATGTGCCCTCATGAGGTGTGCTTCTTGATCTTCTCTTAGGTTAATACTAGGTTTGCTTTTGTGGTTACCCAGCATTTTAGGTGGGAAGAAAGACATCTAGAATTAAGGTGGGTTGCAAGTTAAGATGGGGTTGAAGCAAACTATTGACCATGACTACCTAAATTTGGCAACACACATATTGGTATTATATGGTAAGTAGTGCTTTTTTTTGTTGGTTTATAGTGCTAGGGACCAAACTCAAAGCCTTTTGCATGTTAAGCACAAAGCACACCTTGTAGCCTACATGATATAGATTTGGAAGTCACTGTGATTTCTCTTTCTTCAGTGTTTTCACTGGAAACATTAGATCTTGGCAGCTGTGTCTCCCATTCCTTACATGGCATAGCCAATTGCCCACTGCCAACCATCCCCCACTGTCTGGTTTGTGGAAAACTGATGGTAGTTCATCTACTGGAGGGTTTTAGTCATTAATCCCCAAAAAGCAAATCTTAAGCTTCATGACCAGGCCTAGAGGCACACTAGGAGTTTGAGCCATGAAACAGTCATCTCAGTTTTGGAAATAAAGACACTGTGTTGTCCTACATTGTCTTATACCAATCACTTAATACAAAACCAACCATGACAAAAAGATTAATATTTTTTTTACAAGAGAGCCTAAATTAGAGGTTTCCAGTGATTCCCTCCTTTCAGAGCTTGTGGAATCCCATGGAAGAGTGGGGTGGAGAATATTGTCAGAGCCAGAGGGGATAGAGGACATCAAGAGAACATAGCTTACTGAATCAACTAAGCAGGGATCTCATGGGATCACAGAGATTGAAGTGGCAAAGCCCAGACTCATATGGGTCTGAGTCAGGTCCTCAGCGTATATAATATGGCTGTTAGCTTTGTGTTTTTGTGAAACTCCTAACAGTGGGAGCTGGTGTGTCTCTGACTCTTTGGCCTGCTCTGGGGATTCTTTTCCTTCTATTGGGTTGCCTTATCTAGCCTCAATACAAGGGCTTTTGCCTAGTCTTATTGTATCTTGTTTTGTCATGTTTGGTTGTTATTTCTTGGAGTCCTGCTCCTTTCCTAGGGGAAATGGAGGGGGAGTGAATCTAGAGGAGAGGGGAGGTGTGAGAGGAGAGGAGGGATTAGAAACCGTAGTCAAGAAGTATTATACGAGAGAAGAATTTATTTAAAACCAATAATCAGAATATTACTTGAGATGCAACAAAGCATTATAAATAAATCACTGACTATACTACTGAATGCCTGGGTGGAAATCCATGTATAATACTCACTTTGATAGGCACTGGGAAGAAGCTATATTAGGAGTGCTGTGCTGGGAGTCTTCCAGTAGCCAGGCCAGGTAGTTTCTCTACTCTCTCATGAGCCATAGTAGTAGGGTCATTTTTCATATCTATATAGACTGGTGAATATTTTTCCATCTGCAGTGATGGGATTATGCATGCTCCCAAATTAAATTTGGCTCAACAGATGGCTATTAAGTATCTATTATTAAGTAGGTTTGTGTCAGCGGCAAAGTCAAATAACTGAAGGATACATCATCCATGCCTACATGGAGCTCTCAACTCAGTATTAAAGTTAGATAGGTAACAAATTAACCATGATTTTGTATGGACTGTGGACTAAGAGGGCAATGCAATGTGTGTCAAGCATGGAGCAGGGAAGTCTCTGGTTACAGCAAAAGTGTCCTTGGAGAATGAACAACATGTCACAGGCAGAGTTTTAAGCCGAGGACTGGGCTATCTGTTAGAAGAGATTGAATATTGGGATGCATACAGTGTATGCTGAGGGGCCTCACAGCAAATGACCAATGCTAAGATTCTGAAATACAATCACAAGAGCACAGGAATCTTGGTTTTTTGCCTTTACTTGTTTCTTGAAAAGGAAGTTCTGCCAAACTGAGAGCAAAAGGGCAGGTAGTAGTTAAAAGCCCAGACTGCCTGAGTCTGGGGAGACCAGGTAGCAGTCTGGGCTCGGCAATCTCTAAGATACTGAGCCCTGTGCAGCAGTGTGAGTCTCCACCCTCCTGTTTCCTCTCCTGTTCAGATTCCACGGCTCAAAGGAAGTCCTCAGTAAGCACAGGTGGTGGTGACTAACAAGAGCAGGTTAAAGGAATGACCAAGAGTGGACCTTTTTTTTTTTTTTTTTTCCCTCGAGATTGGGTTTCTCTGTGCAGCTTTGGAGGCTGTCCTGGAACTCCA